AGAAGAAACTCGGGCATGACCTGAAGAAGAATGGATTTCTACCTCACTTTATGGACAAAGAATCATGCAAGCTTGTTATGAAACGAAAGAGGACGAGACTACGAGCGTCTGGGATCAAACGGCGATTGATTCGGAGTCCGGACGAGGGAGAAACGAAGCAATTAACAGAGGCTGAGCAAGCTGCACGGGCAGACCAGCGTGGCCACGCACGGCCGTGCAAGTGACCAGTTTGGCCGTGCGGGATTGTGCGTGGGCACGCACGGGATTGTGCGTGGCCACGCACGGCCGTGCAACATACAATTCTGGCCGTGCGAGTTGGCTGAGGTTCAACTAATTGATACGCCGCGTTTTGAGGTGCACGGCCAGAATGGTGATGTGCACGGCCGTGCACCCTGGCCGTGCGAGTCGGGATTTCCTGGTTTTAAGCCAAATTCCGAACCAAAGAATAGAGAGAGCTGGGTTTTGGATCCCAAACACCCAAGGGACGAACCCTAGAGAGAGAGGGCGATTTGAGGGCATTCTTGGAGTAGAGAAGGAGGATTTCTTCGCCTTGGAAGCTCGAGGAACAAGCCCGGACTTGAAGACTGATCATCTGAAGATTCTTACTGCAGTCTCTCTCTTCTCTATGGAGTAACTTCCCTTCACTTAGGTTTTGAGGAACCCTAGCTATGTTTGTTTGATTGGATGATTGTATGAGTACTCTGACTGGATAATCTTGAGTTCATATTCAATCTATGCATGTTTTCATGATTCAATTCTGCTTTAGTCGAGATTATTGATTCTGCTTTGGTCCTATGAGAGGGAATACCTGATTAGGTCAATAGAGCACCATAGATTGATAGTAGTGGATCGATTGCTTTAGTCGAGGGTTGATTCACTGCTTTGTATCGATTGAGAACCTCTTTCGATAGAGGGAGTCTAGTTCAGAACGCCTTGATCAGTTGTTCTAGAGAAGGATACGTCCCTCTAGGCAATTGACTCAAGAGGGCCTTGTTCCTTTAGTCGAGACTCAATGTCTAGTCAAGGATTCTCCGCATTGTGAATGAAAGTGAAACAGGTTAGAGATCATCAATCGTTAATCTGGCTAGTGGCTAGGGGGAATCATACCTAAGTGAGTTCCCAACCTGTAATTAGATTAACTTTAACTGTAGTTTGCTAGAGTAGTTTTAGTTCTTTCATCTTAATCTGATTTGCTAAATAATAAACTGAAGCTGAGTAATAGTAACTCTAGAGACCCGTGGATTCGATATTTATCACTTGAGCCACTATACTGCAGTCCCTTTCATTGGTTACACTTGGCCATTGTTAGGTGTTGTGTCGTAGCGAGTCATCTACCTTGGTCCTCATTCCAAAAGTGGACATACCGGAAATGGTAACGCAGCTTAGACCATTCTCGCTCAACAATGTGAGTCTGAAAACCATCACCAAGGCGGTGACTCACCTCCTCAAGCCTCTTATGGGAAAGTGGATTTCTCCAAGGCAAAGCAGCTTCATCCCAGGACGACAAACGACAGACAAAATCATCGTGGTCCAAGAGATTCTGCACTCTCTCAGGAAGCGAAAAGGGCGAAGAGGTGGAGTGGTGATAAAGATTGACCTGGAGAAGGCGTACATCAGACTTCGATGGGACTTGCTTCGAGACACCTTGAAGGAAATCGGTCTTCCAAGCTCCTGGATCAACTACATCATGTTCTGTGTTGAAAAGAATAAGATGCGCATAGCCTGGAATGGAGAGCTCTCAGATGCTCTCACCCCCAACAGAGGTGTTCGACAGGGAGATCCTCTTTCCCCCTATCTCTCTGTTTTGTGCATGGAACGTATTTCTCATAGAATTGATCAGGCCATCGAGGAGAAACGATGGAAACCCTTAACGCTCTCCTCCGGTGGACCAATACTCTCTCGCTTTTTTTTTTTTTTTTTTTTTGCAGTTGATCTGATGCTTTTTGCGGAGGTGGGGCTTGGTCAGATAGCAACTATTAAGGAGTGCATGGAGGAGTTTTTTTTCTAGCTCGGGACAGCGAGTGAACCTTCAGAAATTGCTGATCTTTGTCTCGCCTAATGTGCCGAGAGATACCGCTGCTGCCTACAGCAACCGAGCATGGATTCCTCCACCTCAGATAAAGGGAGATACCTGGGTGTCATGGCCATTAATTCTAGAGTCACCAAAGACCGATACAGAGAGCTAATCTTGAAGGTTCAGAACAAGCTCTCATCCTGGAAAGCTAAGAAACTCTCTCTTGCTGCTCGTTTAACTGTTGTACGTTCAGTCTCTACCTCCATTTATGTTTATTCCATGCAGACATAGATGCTCCCATCCTCAGTATGCAAGGAGATTGACAAGATCAACAAGAATTTCATTTGGGGCGACACAGAGGACAAAAAATACTCTCACCTCGTGGGATGGAAGAAGCTCCTCGAACCAAAAGAGAATGGAGGAGCTGGTCTTCGTTCGCTAAGACACTCAAATATAGCACTCCTGGAAAAAAGTGGATGGAGGGTTCTGCAAGAGAAAGATACTTTGTGGACTCAAGTCGTTCGGGAGAAGTACGGGCGGAATAGAGAAGGACTCTAAATTCTCGAGGGCAAACAGGGAAGTTCCTTCACCTAGAAAAGCATAACCAAAGCTAATCCTATTCTCCGACAAGGATGTGCTTGGAACATTTCAAATGGGAAGAACACCAAGTTCTGGACTGACATTTGGCGTTTGCAGGTACCACTGAAGGATGTTGCAGTGTCGCCGATCCTGGAGATGGAGGCTCAGAAACCAGTAGCTTGTGGGAAACATAATTATTTGCATTTTTTGGTTATTTCGTATTAGTGTCGGTTTTATTGATTGGGGGATTATTTGGGTAATTGGGGAATAAACAGGGAGTCTATTGTTACGTTTTATTATTTGGGTAGCAGATAGGAATTAGACAGGCTATATAATCTGTAGTAGTGGTCTTATTTTTCATGAAGCAATTACAGAACTAAAACCTAAATCCCTATCCCACTCTTTTCCCTCTCTCTAGCGCCGACCCCCTTCCTCTCTCTTCTTCTCTAAAGCTGCGGCAGCAGCACCTCCTTTTCCCTCTCTTCTTGTTCTAAAATCATCAATTCTAATTCCTAGTTAGATCAATCCCTAATTGATCTAGCTAATTTCCCATTCCCTAATCTCGTGAGATCGGACCGAGTTGAGCCGAACCGGACTGGGTCGGACCGGGACGGGTCGACCGGAGGTGGGTCGGACCGGACATCGACCAAGCCCTACTTCTCAGCCGCTCAGGAGGGCGGACAGCAGGGGCCCAGTAGGCGGGGAAGGGCCGTACGAGATGCCTCACGCACCAGGAGGGTACCCGAACCACCAAGGGGGCTACCCGGGTGATTATGGGCATGGAAATCCAAGCCAGATGCAGTACGCTCCAGTTGGGCAGCCATGGAGGACTCCAGTAAATGACAGGTATGGGTCCCACTGTATGAATTATGAAGGTATGGATGGCGTGGTTTTTCGAGCTAAGCCTCCGACCATTGAGTTTCCAAAATTCAATGGGCAAAGAGGATGCAGGCCTTTGGTTGTATGCAGTTGAGAGGTGGTTTAAGAACCACCCCATTCCGGAAGAGAGGAAGGCTTATCTAGCCTCGTTCTACTTGGAGGGAGACGCGCTCCAGTGGTGGGAGTGGATGGAGAGATCCTACGCAGCTGCAGCGACCTTGATTACTTGGCCTATGTTTCAGGAGGAGCTCCGCTATCAGTTTGGAAAGTCTGACGGGTGGGCTCCTGAGCAGTTGGCAAAGCTGAAGCAGACCGGCACGGTGGCTGAATACCGTGCAGAGTTCTTCAAGTTGGGGAACCAGTGCAAAGGTGTCTCGGAGGACACCTTGGTAGGGTTGTGCATGGCAGGTCTCAAGCCTGAGATAGCAGCGGCCGTCAGGGTGTTCGAGCCCGATTCCTTGAAAACTGCTTTCCGTCTTGCAGGTCATAAGGAGGAAGAACTAGCTAGCTGGAGGAGCACCATTGGCCGCTTCTCAAAGCCATGTGGAGGAGGAGGAAGTAGCGGGAGCAGTGGCAGAACCGGAGGGGCGCCAGGAGAAGGCTCGACTGGGGCTAACGTGAGTAGTGGAGATTCGGCTCCGGTGGCCAGGCTGGGACCGCGGGCCATACCGAAGGCGTTCGTGCGATTGTCTCCGGCGGAGAATGAGCAGAAAAGGCGGGAAGGCAAGTGCTTCAACTGTGATGGCCGGTTCCCCATCGGGCATCAATGCCCGAAGCCGGATTTGATGATGTTAGTCGGACGCTGGGAAGATGAAGCAGAAGATGAGCTCGAGGACGGCGGAAATGGCGAGGGAGAGGCCTAGTGAGCTAGAGGAACAACCTTGGGGACAAGGTTGTTTTTCGAAGGAAGCGGGGATGTGGGAAACATAATTATTTGCAGTTTTTGGTTATTTCGTATTAGTGTCGGTTTTATTGATTGGGGGATTATTTGGGTAATTGGGGAATAAACAGGGAGTCTATTGTTACGTTTTATTATTTGGGTAGCAGATAGGAATTAGACAGGCTATATAATCTGTAGAGTAGTGGTCTTATTTTTCATGAAGCAATTACAGAACTAAAACCTAAATCCCTATCCCACTCTTTTCCCTCTCTCTAGCGCCGACCCCCTTCCTCTCTCTTCTTCTCTAAAGCTGCGGCAGCAGCACCTCCTTTTCCCTCTCTTCTTGTTCTAAAATCATCAATTCTAATCCCTAGTTAGATCAATCCCTAATTGATCTAGCTAATTTCCCAATCCCTAATCTCGTGAGAAACCTTGTTTCTCACATAGCTGCTTACATGAATGATGACGACCAATGGCGGGTGGAGCTCTTCCAGCAATGGCTTCCAACGGATGTCATGGATAAGATCACGGCGATAGCTACAGATCCGCTCTCTACTGAAGAAGACAGATTATGATGGCTACCCACTTCTATCAGGGATTTCATAGCTAAATCTGCATACCGGATTGCATTTCGTGCGCCCCAGACTACGGATCAGCAGGCTTGGAAAGCAGTGTGGAACCTTCAAGTTCCGGAACGCGTTAGACTCTTCATAAGGCTTGTTAATCTCCATCGCATGAACACCAGCAAAAGGAGGTTCGAAAGGCACATAGCTCCTAATCCTTTTTGTCCCACGTGTGTTAATGTGCCAAAGACCGAGCTTCATATCCCGAGGGACTGCTCGGCCTCCCTCTTCTATTAGACAAGAGAGGTGCCAGCAAACAACATGGTGGATTTCCTGACCTTGATCAGTGGGTTCGCACGAATATTCTGAACACGAAGATGGACAGTAATGGCGTCCCCTGGGCCTCAAGCTTCAGCATTGCTCTGTAGACTCTTTGGAAGAACCGGAACGAATGTGTCTTCAGCGATGGTAGCAAGCTTTTGTCTCCCCCACTCTCTGTGGCATGCTATCCACCTTAAGGTTAATCTTTGGCACTCTGCCTGGATGGCTCCCTTACCGTTGCAGCTTCGTGGTAATCGAAAGGCGGACAAGGTCGAGGCGGATTTTGGCTGGAGTGTACCACCTAGGGGTTGGTGCAAACTTAACGTTGATGGAGCTTCTCAAGGAAACCCTAGGAAGGCGACAGCAGGAGTAGTCTTCAGAGATGATCAACGACGCTGGCTGGGGGGTTCTACTACTCCATTGGTGACTGTTCGGCGGCTTGTGCAGAGCTTTGGGCAATTAAGCAGGGTCTGGAGATGGCGTGGAGGAGAGGATTCAAGCTCCTCATTGTTGAGTCTAATTCCCGGCTAGCTATTGACTTCATTCAGCATAGATTCGACCATGTTCACCCCTTTGCCTCTCTTTTGAGATCTATCCGTAGGTTGCTTGCGCAGGATTGGTTGGTCAATATAGTACATACTTACCGTGAAGGGAATAGAGTCGCGAACTGGCTCTCGAAGCACAGTCCTGTCTATCCCCATGGTATGTATGAACTAGTTGACCCGCCAGCCCCTTTGATGCACATTCTGTAGGATGATGAACGAGGTGTGGTACTTTTACCTCGAAACATTGTCCATCTCCCCAAACCCCCTGTAACTCTTTCTTTGTTCTTGGCGTTTGCCTCCAATCGATCTAAAAAGATTAATTATCTAGAAGGATAAATTTTGTTAAACTATTTTACCACTTTTTATCTTAGGAATTGCCAAGAGTATATTTCTTTTACTAAGTTGAATATAAGGAATATTTTAATGGTTGCATTTGGGTACGTTATACCCTCTAAAATTAAAAATTCCGATCAAATGGGCAGGTCAAAATTAAATAACTACCCCAATTCTCATAATATTTTAACCCTTGTGCATCCGAAGGAATCACTTAAAACTGACTTTACGGATGACAAAGCGTTAACAACTCTCACAGCTTGTTTGGATATAATTCTATTGGAAAATGAATTTCATTTCTTGTGAGAATCAGAATTCAAGTGGGAATTCATTTCAAGAATTTATGTTTGGAACAAATCCAAAAGTTTGGGAAATGATTTCTATCTTTTTTATGTTTGGAAAAAAAATGGAAATGATTACTTACAAGTGATTTTACAATAATATCCTTTGTATTAATGATTTCAAATCCAAATGTAGTAAAAGCTTTCTTGTAAAAGTGAGTCAAAATTAATGTGAGTTCCGCTAATTCCATCACTCCCTCCACCAATTCAGACCACTTTTGGTAGGATTTGGAATCCAACTCCTACCTTTTGAAATTCCATTTCTTTTTTATTTTTTACTTCCAAATATGAGAATCATGAAAATTTGAGAATTGAAATTCCATTTCCTCAAAATTTTCCAAACAGGCTGTCAATGCATTGCACAGCTCCAAAGTTTAAACCTTCCATTGAAATGTAGCCTAAAGAAAAGATGATTAGATTTCTAATTTCAAGTTTGAGAAACGTAACATAGAAATAGGTGTTTCGATCCCGCAAGGAAAACTGAACTGGGCTTAAACTGAAAGGGCAATGAATTGAAACCAACTTCAAAACCAGAATGCAAAATCTCTGCAGTTCTCCCCACAATTTAGGATGACAAAACAACCATTGTTCCACTAGCTAGTGAAAACAAAGAGTATCCATTCCATTACTTCATAGCCTCAAAAAGACAAAATGCTAGGTGCCCGACACATGGGTTTAAGTTGGAGTAGAGAGACTTCTAAGCAGTACCAGCACCCTTGCCCTTCTTCCTCTGGAGTTTCTTCATGTAAAACTCAAGTTCCTTCCCTTCCAATATATACCTACAACACAAACACAGTATATAGAAAAACGGTAAGATGCAATGCAAACACAGTACAATTAAGGGAAAAAGGGTCAAAACGCATTTATGCTTACCCATCTGCTCTACCACATTGACCAGGACGGGAAGAAATGCAAGCCAACAATCTACCACCACCAAACTGCTCCTCGATGTGGGCATCCAATTTGCGATCTTTCTGACGATTCTCAATCTTCCTCTGAACATGGCTGCTCTTTTTAGCTTCTTCAGGAGCAACAGTTGCAGCAGCATCTCCTTCCTACAATTATACAACAGAAGGTGATAATCATCATACAGTGAGAAATTATCAGTGTCATAACATCAAATGAGGATTATAACCTTCGCTTGAGTTCTCTCCAGCAAAGTACTGCCCTAAAAGCTCAACTTAGTAACAAAAGACTTTCCCATGCTGCTGTTCATATGGGTAGTCACAGATAATCTATTCCAGATGATATTTTCAGATTTGAATGGTACTTAGTTTGCTATGCAATCAGCTAGTTGGATCAAGTGCCAGCTACATAGAACATCAAGATCACACCTATTACTACTTCTGAGAACCAATACAAATGAAGGCAGGAAAACTTCAAAGACAGCGAGACTCCCTCCAAAAGACAAAGTTCATGACAAACGAATATCCTGACAACCAAAATACTACCTAGAGCCTAGAATCGAGGAAAAGGACAATGAACAGCCTGGCTGTATCAAGAAAATTACCTCAGTAGCATCTTTCTTAGAAGTTGTCTTCTTCTTCCTACCAATGTCAACACCGTAGTGCTGAAGGTACCATTGCTTAAACGGTGCTGCATCAACTTGAATAATGGCACTCTTCACCAGAGTCTGTGTCCTAACAAGCTCATTGTTTGAGGCGTTATAGACCACATCAAGTATACGAGTCTTGCGGGTGACTGCCTCGCTACCCCAGGAGAAATTTCCAGTGTCCAACCTCAAGGCCCTCCATTTCACATTGCCTCCTCTAACACGCACCCTCCTAACAGTCTTATTGCTTGAGAGCTTGGTGTTTGCTGGCTGACGTCCAAGCTCGTACCTTAATCAACAGGAATAAAATCATATCAGAACCGAAAAAGAGAAGAAAACGTCCAAACATTGCGCCCACTGTAGCAGTAGATGTGGAAGCCATTAAAGCCCAAATCGAAGGCTAACGAATACAAGAGGCTGACCATTTGCCGATATTACTTTTAAGAACTCAAGCGAGGAAATAGCAAATGATATAACTGGCATCATTTTACTCAAGAGTAACCAAGCAGAATAGAACAAGAAAAATAATCCAGTTCTGGAATGTACAAAGAAACAGGGTAACAGCAGAATCTTAGAATCTGGCTGAGGCAGAGGTAACTTACTTTCGCTTCTTCCTCCAGACCTTCTTCTTGCCACCAGTGGCGCGCCTCTTGTGAAGAGAGTCCCTTGAAATACCTGCATATCAAAAATTCAAAACCAGGTAAGCATTCGATCTGTAAAGCAGCCATTAAAGAGACCGAGTCTACCCCATGTGAACCAGAGCGGAGAGTAGGGATCAGTACCCATGTTGGTTCAGCGGCGGCAAACTCTGACGGATTTCCCTCTCGCGGCGCGGCCTTACCTCTGCTTCCTGCACTGCTCTGGAAAACTAAAACCCTAGCTCTCGATCAAGCTTTATATACGCAGCCACTTTCGATTGTGTTCTGATTTATACCGAGTCCCTCAACTTTGGTTAAAGTTTGTACCCGGGCCCGGCCCGGCCCTTGTACTTCATTTAATGACGAAAATTACAGTCAGCCTTTGGGCTAAAGCTACTTTGGGCCTCATCCTCAAGAAGATGAACCATACTTTGGTGGCTTGGTGCTAAATGCCAATATATGTAATATACAGGAAAGTTACGTATAAAATATATATGAGTATTTTATTTCATATTTAAATTAATATTATATTTAATAGTATGTTACTAGTCATGAGTATATAAATTAATTAGTTTAAAAATAAATAAGTATATAAATAACTGTAAAGTTAACAATTTAGTTCATTAAATACGGATATTAAATGTGTTATAGAGGTTTTATACATGTTTAGTACGGGAGCTATCAAATTAACGAAAAAAGATGAAACGACTTGACAATAATACAGATACAGAAGTTTTAAAAAGATAAAATATGTACGGGTACATATACGTGTATAAAACCGAGTATTAACTAACTATACTTCATATTAATAACTCGAGGACGAGCCCCTCGAACCAAATCGTACATGGCCCAATTCTGAATATCTAATTCAATTATAGAAATACAATGAGCACCCAAAGGGAGAAAGTGGCCCTTATGAGCAAGTCAATTTGCAAAGAAGTTGCCTTCTCTATAGATATGTATGATGCAAACAGTCCAATCCCGAAGGAGAAGGGCTCGCAACACAAGAACCGGTGAAGCATGGTGATGGGTCGACTCGTCCTGGATGAGAAGAAGGGTGACTAAGGTAAACGAGGTTACCTGCACCTTCACCTGTCTATGTGTGAGACGCCATGCTAGCTCAAGACCCTCAATGGCTACCCTAAGTTCGACTTTGGTAATGGAATAACTTCCCAGGTTCATGGCATAAGCACCCAACAAGCGACCCTGTGAAGATCATTGAGTGTATAGGTCTGACCATATTTACGTGCTCCCTTCACGTTAACTCATTGAAGATCATCGAGCACATAAGTCCGACCATATTTACTTCCTCGCCCGATCACCATCCCCGTCATCTTGTCCTGAACACCACAACAAGTGGAATCAAAGAGGACATTACAACCATCCTCGTCAACTGTCCCACGTGAAACTAAATTAGGACTAAGCCGAGGGACGTAAAGGGTGTGGGGAAGTACGCCCGAGCCGAAATAAGTTGTACTAGACCGAAGGATAGAAATAGTGGCCCCATTGGCTACTTGGAGGCCCATAGAATCAATTGGTTGCAAAGTATTAAAACGTTATGATGTCGTGTCATGTGATTAAATGCGGCTAAGTCCAAAAGATCTCTGAGGGACTTACTAGGGCGAACAGTAGTGGCAAAAGCTAAGGAAAGAGCCTCTTTTAAAGCACCTTGAACTAAGTGTCAAATTTGCTCAAGAGACAAGGACGAAGACGAACTATGGCTAGCTAAAGACTCAATGTATGAATCTCCAAGAGTGACAGGGTACACTATGCCATGGGACGAAGATGAGTCAACAAAAGAAGCAGGACAAAGTTGTAGAAGTTGGGCTTCTTGCAATGCATCTGAACGTGGCCAGACTCGCGATAAAAGTGACAAATAAGCTCACCAGTACTAGATTGAGGAACATGAGGACGTGAAGGAGCAGCAGGTCAGCCTACAACAAAGACATACTCATACAAAGAGCTACGTTGTCAACCTGAGATTGACTTTTCAGACTCATCTCTTCCCGCATCAATTCAGCAACAATGTCCTCAATTCTCAACGTATTACGATTAGTCAAGGAGGTTCGAATAGGTTAAAATTCATATCGAAGCTTGGCCAGGAGCTCAAGAACACGTGCACAATCACGTTCAACGGTGACAACAGTTGAGGCATTAGCAGGGACCAAAAATGCAATCAAAAGGTCATATTCCGCCCAAAGATGAAGACAAACCCTGTTTTGTTAATAGGTCGAACAAATGTGACTTCACATATCATGAGTTGTACTAAAATGACATAGACGGAGGGCAGTAGGCATGTCTACCGACCAAGAATCCATGTGATCAGTTGGGCATTCCCTGCTTCGTTTCTCCCCTCAAAACCGAGAGAATCCGCTTACCAGCAACAAAATTACGAAATTGAAATTCCCAAATAGCAAAATTCTTACCATCAAACATTATTGAAATCAAATCCATGTTAGAGAAATCCATCCAAACAAAGAGTTTCAATAAATAGCGATCAATACCACCGAAACAGCCCAACACACCAACGATGACAGAACCTAGCTGCAACTTAAAGCGACGAAGCGACGACCAACCAACAAAAACTGCAAAAGAGAAGGATACCTACTGCAGCTAACCAAATCCCATGAAGACGACCTAACCTTTATATCAGAGGCTATCATACCATGTAAACAATAGCAAGTTGAACAATAGAAAATACAAAGTTTTAACGTGATATCCCTGAAGCTCAAAACTAATCCATAAGAGATGGTGTGCTCTACAAATAGGTTCCACTCGAATCACAAATCGACTTACAAAATACAAGGGCTATAGTGACTATATATACAAGGAAATACACACATGGTGACCTAATTACATAGACAACTAGGATGACGATAACTTACAAGTTGGTACCTAAAACTATAAACTTCAACAAGTGTATAATATCATGTCCAAACTATGGTTAATTCATGATCTAAATAAAAAAAGTCGATGGACATCCGACAAGGTAGCGTAGGTCTAGCGTACGCTAGACTAAACCATATATATATGGATGGTTCTATTGTACCTTGGGTAAAATTATGGGTACGACATACCCTGAGTTAAAAAACACTATCTAGACTTCGAATTGACAAGAGTTTGGCAACTGGTACTACTCCTAAACCTTTAAAGATTAGATTCTAGGTTTTAATTTTAAAAATTTCACAAATCAATTTTAAAGATTAAATGCAACACAGATTAATTATCTTATAATCCAATAACTAATAAGGGGTGTCATTTTTCCAACATTTTTAGGGTAGTCATACTATCTCACCCCTCTCCTGGAATTTTCACAGGAAAGCTTAGCGGGGAGTAATAAAAAAGGATCACTCGCTCATTGTTCGTCTCTCACAACCGCTTGCTCTGCCATTTCCGCCTCGCCGATCTGTCTCCTCCTCCCGCCGGCGCTCGCGTATCAACTTCCTATGCAATCGTCCCTTTTCCCCTCAACCGCTACAAACTTGACGACGACCCACCAGCAGGGGTGTTCTGCGCACGGCGAGTCGAAGGGGGTACCGGCGACGAAGAACCCTTGCACAGTCAAGCGCGACACAAGGAGTAGCTCTGGTTTTTGCTCTCAAAAGTCTTGTGAAGGCTTCAATCTAAAGCACTGCCCCCAATATTAAGCGATTAGGCTCCGCTGCCACCATTCCACCTTATTGGGCGTTTATTTTGATTATTGACTTATTGTGTATTCAAGCTACAGATCTCGCCATCAATTTGGCGAGAGGTGATTCAACCTCTCTAATTGATTATTACAACATAATGGAGGTGTAACGCTGGTGAGATTTATGCGCTCCGGGATCTCTCGCCCGTCGCCTGAGGAGGAAGACGAAGACTCTTGAATTTTTTATTTTCATTATAGTTATTTTGTTAAGGGAAATGAAAAAATAACTTTAAAATTTCACGTCAGATGCCAGATCAACACTAGAATTTCTGTTAAATATTAACGGTCAACACTAACAGAAAAGTAGTTCAAGACAGAAATGAAAAATTGGATAAATTAGGACACATATGTCGTTTTTTATATAGTTCGGGTGTTGTAGTGGTATTAGTCCTTAATCTTAAAATGAAATTTAACGATTATGATTAGTCGAAATTATCAAACTACAAATAATAGGTGTGAACGTAGGAGCATTATCTCCTAGTGAGATATATCTGTCTAAACCATGAATCAAATTGAGTTTGGGCCATCAAACTATACCCTAACCTCTAATGGATAAACCCTAGGCATCAATTCTCTAAACTCAAACCCAAAGTCCAATTTAAGAGAAAAAAAAACAATTAACTGTTGAGATTGGTCGGAGCTCATCTAAGTACATCTGATGGTCAGATAAGCTGGAGCGTACTATGCTCTTGGAGTATATGAGTCGTCTCACTTTATCTATTAGCGAGTCACCAAATCCATTTCCTCACTTTAAGAAATCTAATCAAATCCCAATAATTTCTAAGGGCTGCTGACAGTTGTGTGAAGATTTCAACCCACAATAATTCGATTTGGGTCTTCATTGATCTTGCCTCGTGGTGAAGGTTTGCCTCTGCACATATGCACTTTGCCACTACACCAACATTCGTCCACTACATTTCTTTTGTTCAAAATCTTTGCTTCAATCTGTGTTAAATTGTTAAATGTCTTAGTAATGACAATAGAGTCATTCTATGGTCAATATGAACTAATTCAAAGCAATTTAAACAAATACATACATACATACATACATACATACATAAAGATAAACAATTTATGCACAAAATACATGTATGTTTATGAAACTTATCAGCTTCTCTCATAAGTTGGCACTCTGCAACTTCATGGTTTGGACTTGAACACCAATCACAAACCATAATGAGCTCTTCCCTCGCTTCCTATCATGTAGGAGCGTCGTGATCAACTCATCAATCTTCGTCGTAGGCAATGCAATCAAAATCTGGATTTTGATAATAAAATCGTAGAATTTTAGAATTTTACTTTGGGTTCCGGATCAAGATTTTACTATAAATTTGAAGGACCTTAAAATTGTTTAAAATCGGGATTAAAATTGGTTTGAGCCAATTTAAAAGAAGGAAAACTGTTTTGGCGGAAAGGGCAATGCCAGGGATCATCTCATATATTTTTCCTATTAAAAATATTTAAAAATAAAAAATAACCAAATTAGAGCTCGGTCAATCCATTTCCCTACCCTTTTAACTCCTTTGTAAAGCAGTTGTCATCTATTGGAAGTACGTAAGAATTAACATCATTATTAA